AATGAACAAAAAGATAGATACAGAGACAGTAAAGCATCAAACATATTGACAAATTACAGTGGGAAGGTTAGGGAAAGGTGGGGGAGATAAGAGATCAACTGAAGGACTTGTATGCATGCATATAAGCAAACCAATGGAAGCAAAATGCTAGGGGTTGAGGGCACTCCCCCTGAGTACACAAATTGCTTGTACCAGGCCTCTAGTCCTATGTAATAAATGCCTAATATGCTAAGTGTCCAGTTGTCCAGTGGTCCATTCAACCAAAGTATAATATGCTAATGATATGCTAAGTTTGCTCAACTACTCACTATGACTTGCACTTGACCACCAGGGGGCAGACAGTTGACCACTCGACCAGTCACTGTAATGTGCACTGACCACCGGGGGACAGATGCTCTGACTGATAGATTAGTTTGCTGGTGGAATCCAGCTGATCCAGACTGAGCGAGAGAGGTTGGACATGTCTTGGAACCCTCCTGAGGTCCCTCCCTGGCTGGCCAACCTTCCAAAACTCTCCCCAGCCCCAATCATGCACCAATGGGGTCCCTTGGCCTGGCCTGCACCATCTTGTTATCCAGGATCCCTCAGGGGATGTTGGAGACCCAGTTTCGGCCAGATTCTGCTCAACACAGGAGTGTGCCCCTGGTGGTCAGTGTGCTCATGGCTGACAAGTGCAGCAATGGTGGTGGTGGGAGCCTCTTCCACCTCCATGGCAGCACTAAGGATGTCCAACTGACCACTTAGGCCTGGGCATAAGTCATCAGTCAGACATCCCCTGAGGGCTCCTGGACTGCAAGAGGGCACAAGATGGCTGAGGAATACCCCAATTCATGTGCACAAATTTCGTGCACCATGCTTCTAGTCATCAATAAATTAAACAAATAACAAGTGTTGGCAAAGATCAGATTAAAATGGGAACCTTTATGCATTGTTGTTTGTTAGGAATGCAGATTGGTGTAGGGAATGTGGAAAACAGTATGGAATTTCTTCAAAAAATTAGAAATAGAATCCTATGGCCCAGCAATTTCACTCCTAGGACTGTAGCCAAAGAAATCCAAAACACTAACACAAAAGAATTAATGCACTCCTATGTTCACTGCAGCATTAGTTACAATAGCCAAAATTTGAAAGTAGCCCAAATGCCCATTAGTAAATGAGTGGATAAAGGAGCTATGGTACATTTACACAATAGAATACTAATCGGCCATAAAAAAAAAAGGAAAAGAAAAGAAAAGGAAGGAAATCCTACTATTTGTGACTGCATGGTTGGACCTGGGAAGTACTGTTCTAAGTGAAATAAGCCATTTACTGAAAGACAAGTACTAGATGATATCACTTATATGTGGAATCTAAGAGCAAAACAAAAACAGACTCATAAAAACGGGACAAACTGACAGGTGTCAGAGGGGAGGGGATTTGAGGGACTGGATGAAAAAAGGTGAAGGGATTAAGCAAAGAAAAACAAAACCTGATAGACCCAGAGAGTAGTTTGGTGATTATCAGAAGAAAGGGGTGAATATGGATTTAGAAGAGATTAAGGGGTGGGGTTACATGGTGATGGAAGGAGACTTGATTTGGGGTGGAGAACACCACACAATACAATATACAGATGTTGTATAATAGAATTGTATATCTGAAACCTATAGTATAATTTTATTAACCAAGGTTACCCAATAAACTCAATAAAAATTAAAATGTTTTTCTGAAAAAGTCCCCAATGGGAGCCTTTCTTAACAAGATAGCTTTCAGAAAAATGTTTACGTCTCTTTTTCAGATGTAGTTTTAGATTTTAGTAAGAATTGAGAATACCAAAGACACATGTTTTTAAAGATTTAATGACAAGTTTTAAGTGGGAGAGATGGCACTGTAAGTAAATGATTTAAAAAATATTTCTTAGAATGTTTTATCCTAGACTATCAATCTCTGTATTTGCCAAGAATTACTTACAACCTGACACACATTTTCACATAAACAATGCATAGGACCAAAATACTGCATTTGACCTTCAAGAAACTGCATCGCTTGGCAAAAGTCTGAATTGACCTACTAACTTTGAAAAGAAGATAATTGCTGTATTAAATAAATGTATATATGCTATTATAGGAACCAATTAAGCAAATTATATCAGATTTCCTAATCCAATGATCAATGTAGTAAATGTAATATGCCCAGAACTTGAAAGCATTTAGAATCCTTCAAACCCAGGGTGGATATAATATTTTGCTGTTGTTTGCTTAGTCCTTCTACTCTCAACATAAATTTTCTAGGTTTGATGATATAAGGAATAAAAAAGAAATTAGCTAAGATCAAAAAATGTTATGATTTGAACACATTGAAGCAATAACTTTACATTTGAGTACTAGTAGATAATATGAAAGTTTTGTCAGTTATTAAGTCCATTTTTTAAAAACCCTGTTGATGGAAGGTGTAGACTTTAATATCTTCTCCAATAGAGTTAATGAACTAACTGGAAACTATTGCATTAATTTCCTGAACCCCTTAGTGACGGGAGGTGGGGGGGGGGGGGGGAGAAAGAACGCCATTCTAATCTAATAGCTGGAGAAACTGAGTAACTAGTAACTGTACTCATTTACAAAGGAGAATTATAGCCTTAATATACCCTGAGCTGTAGATATGAAAGATAGTGCATACACACACATCACCTCCTATATTTTTAAGGAAGCAATACCTGCTTCTTAAAGTACATATAAACCCTTGGTCCTATACCTTTTGGCAGAGTAAACTATTGCTTCATGGCCTGACAGCGCATTCACCTTTTTAATTTACTTTTAAATAATCTTTCCCTAAGTCATTCAACGTAGGATGAGGCCAATTGTGAATATTAAGAATTTCTTTGTGTTGATTATTACTCTATGGATTTTTGAATTTAAAAACTCAGGCCCTGGCCTCATGGCTCAGTTGGTTGGAACATCTTCCCATGCACTGAAGGGTTGCTGGTTCAATTCCTGGTCAGGACATATGCCTAGGTTTGGGGTTCAACCCCAAGATTCAACCCCTGGGCATCTTATTGATGTTTCACAACTCTTTCTGTCTCCCTTCCTCTCTCTCTAAAATCAATATATAGGCCTTTGGATGAGAATTAAAATAAAAGCCTCAGGAAATAACTCTTTGCAAAGTACATTGAGGCATTAATTGGGAATTAAAAACCACACACACATACACACACACACACACACTCTGAATTTATTTTTAGTTCCATAAAAATGAATTTGAGTCCTGGCTAGATGGCTCCAGTGGTTGAAGCCCTGTCCCTACACCAAAGATGTTAAAGGTTTCATTCCCAGTCAGGGCGTGAACAGGAGGTAACCTATTGATGTTTCTCTCTCACATTGATGTTTTTCTCTCTCTCCCTTCCCCTCTCTAAAATCAATAAAAAATATATCTTCATGTCAGGATTAAAACAAATTAATTTGACATTTCACATAGAAATTGTAAACTATCATATGGTTTTGATTTCTTCAGAATTTGTGGAGTGTTTCTCTTGAATGGAAATGTTCTCAAGTTACTACTGTAAGGTTTGAGGCGCAGGAAACTGACCACCAAGAACTTTTAAAGTAAAGTTTATTCCCCAGTAATGAACGGGACTCATTACGGGAGGTAGAGAAATCAGAATTGAAGGAGTTGGGAGCAGGGATGGACCCAGTCGGGCTGCCACCTGGACATGGAGGATCAGCAGCATGTGGCTGATCTGGTTGCTTTTTAAGGGGAGGAACAGGAGAGGGTTGGACCCAGGGCCGAACAGGAAGGGGTGGGCTTCAGGACACTTTGGCAGGCGCTGATTGATGGCTCAATGTCTTGGAGATGTCTCTGTGACAGATGCCAGTAATGTCATAACTCCGCCCACCAGTTGGGAGGAGGGAGAACCTTATAACTACTGTAGGATTAATTCTTCTATATTAAAAAAATGTTAGAGTTAGGTGATACATATATATACATAATTTCATTATTTTTAACATTTATTTTTTTTATTTTTTTAAGAGAGGAAGGGAGAGGGATAGAGTTGGAAACATCGATCAGCTGCCTCCTGCACAACCAAGGCACATGCCCTTGACCAGAATCAAACCCAGGACCCTTTAGTCCACAGGTGGATGCTCTATCCACTGAGCTAAACTGATTAGGGCATATATATTTTATTTTTAAAAAGATCATTATCTTTTTTTAATGAATTTAGGACATCTGAAAACAAATTAGGAAAATGTAATAATTTCAGTATTACCAAAATAGGGCTTTGTGTAATGAGTGTGACATCATGACAGTGAAGTATGTATTTTTAAGCTTTAAACAGGGAAAGCTTTATGTTGGCATAGCCAATAGAAATACAATATGTAAATTAACCCATGTTATCTGTATGCTGATTGGCTTAAATTTCCCTGCGTGTCACATTCTCACCACCCTACAATGAGGTATTTTATTGCTGTTCGAACATCAGATTATTACTGTAAAGATCCATATTTTTTTCTGTTTCATTCACAGATTATTACAAAGCAAATAAGTATGGGTGAGAAACAGACGTTTTTCATTGGGAATGAATGAAAGGAAGTGGGGAGTTGTTTAAAATCTCTTATTCTTCCCAAATGGTAACATGAGGAGAGGCAAGATTCTGGAGGGAGGCATCCATCCCTAAGGCGCCTGGGTGTCAGGCCATGTGGGATGCCCTGGTGTCATTGGGCCTTTCGGAAGGATGGGAGTTTTACGTATTCTTTGTACTCCTAGTGTCTTTCTTCAGTAATAACAAAGGGGAACACACACCAGAACTTTGACATTACCGACCTATTGGTAAATCGTACTTGCAAGAAGGAAAACTTGCTCTTTAGGGTGAAAGGCGAGGAATACTCCTTTACATTTTTTGCAGATTTATTGCCTTCCCCCATCCCCTCCCCACCCCTGTAACTTGCCAATGCAAAGGCCAGCGGCACGGCTCCGGACCTCTCGGGGGAGAGAAAGGAGGGAAGGTCCCCGGGAGGCGAGGGTCCGGGCGGAGCGGGGCGGGCGCCCGGGGCCCGGTGGCCTCCCGGGCGCGGCCCTAAGGGGGCTGGGCCTGCGGTCCCCCCACTTCACATGCGGGAACGGGTCAAGTTCAGGAGCGACCGCTGGGATACAGAAGCCTAATCTGGCCAGTCCGGCAGGACGGGACATGCAGCCGGCCGGGCCGGTCCCGGGAGCCGGTCCGCCCCGGGCCCGCGGCCCCTGCCCGCACCCCGAGCGCGGCCGGCCGTCCGCTGCGCCGGGGAGGACACGGCTGGAGCTCGTGGAGGCTCAGCGCGCAGGCGCCGCCGAGCCCTGCCTGGATGCTCAGTGCAAGCACTAAGGCCAAAAAAATAAAAAATAAAAAAATAAAAAATAGCCAGCAATCTATAGAAGGAAGACGCTATAGTGTGTCGGGATGCCCAGCACCAACAGGTAGGAGGCCGTCCTCGGGGTTAAGCGTGCGGGGAGGAGGGCTCCCGGCGCCGGGGGAGCTGCAGGGTCATCGGGGAAGCGCTGCCCCTTCCCCCCAGGGGGAAGGCTTTGTGCTTTGGTTTGGTTTGGGTTTTTGTGGTTTTTGTGTGTGTGTGTGTGTTTTGTGTTTTGTTTTTTTTTTTTTTTTAACAATAAACTACACAATGGGGGCGCATTCAGACAATGCATCTTCCGCGGGGCTTAGTCAAAGCTCCATTTTTGGAAAGCGTTGCAAGACTGAGGGATCGCGGCCCGCGAGCCGCCGGAAGCGGCTCCCTTGCAGCACCGAAGCGATCTCCTCGCACCATCTTCGCGTATGTAGTGCATGTCTCCCCCCGCCCCCTCCTCCCCCCGTTATAAATCCAGGGGTGGCGGATTCCAGGTTTCGTAATGTTGCATGATGAGGTCGGTATTTACCCGGGGACGCGCCGGTGGGGGGATTAAAACCATCGGAGCAGCTTTGCCCGGTTACCATCAGCATATTCCGAGCGAGTGAAAAGTGGCAGAGGGAATATGCTGAGCGGAAATAACGGAGGAAGCCGATTTTCCCGGTGTGGTTCCCAGGCACCGAGAAGAAAATGTGCATTTTTTTTTTTAAATGAAGCCACTTTCGATGTGCAACTGAGATGATCAGTGTAAATGGGAAGGCTTAATTGATCAGGAAATAACAGGTTCGTGTTAAATTTATTTGAATCCAGGCATCCACGGTTTACAAATGGAAGCCCATTATTCCTCCGGGTGTGTTTCCCTGGCCAGTATTTGCATTAACCATTTTTAATACTCATGTGTGCTTAAAAGAGAAGAGATTTGCCAAAAATGGGGTGGGGTGGGAGTGGGGAAACAAAAGATTAAATCACATCAAATTCTGGGATAATTTCCTATTAATTTAGAAACCTAATGTAACTATACTCTAAGGAAGCAGCAAATACACTTATAATATGCAGCATGAATGGTGACACATGAGTTAAAAGACAAATATTTTGCAATGGTTCTTTGGATCCATGTCTACAGGGGAGGTGCCTATAAAATACTGACAGATACTAATAGACCTCAAATAAATGTAATCTCCTCTCTGTCTTCTATTATTAATCTTGAAGATTCCATTGCAACGCTGGTGACTAATTTTTAGAGTGGCATATTTTATGATTGTGGAACATTATCCCTTTTGTCTAAAAAAAAAGTATGTTCTCCAAAAGGGGAACATTTTTAAGTTTATCTAGCATGGAAAACGAAGCAAGCCAATTGTCTGAACTCTCAAGCAAAAATATTAAAGCAAATCATAATATTCAAAATGAAAACTTTATTTACTTCCCATACACCAACAGCTTTGTGTAAGCACTGCCTGACATCATTCATTGCTTGTTAACTTAATACCTGATCAAGCTCTTTTTCCCCCTAGATATTCTGATGGCAAATCAAATGGAAAAAAAGAGGAAGCATGACAGCAGATTGGATCGATTCTCTTGGTGGATTACATTTTCAGTAAAATGTACGGATCTGTCTTTCCCCTGTTCTGTCTAAATCATGAGACTTGACTGAGGCTGTCTCTTTATCCTCCATCCATCTATGGCGAACTATAGCCATGCAGCTGACAACATTTTGCAAAATCTCTCTCCTCTCACAGCCTTTCTGAAGCTGACTTCCTTGGGTTTCATAATAGGAGTCAGCGTGGTGGGCAACCTTCTGATTTCCGTTCTGCTGGTGAAAGATAAGACCTTGCACAGGGCACCTTACTACTTCCTGCTGGACCTCGGCTGCTCCGATGTCCTCAGGTCTGCGATTTGTTTCCCATTCGTGTTCAACTCCGTCAAAAACGGCTCCACCTGGACCTATGGAACCCTGACCTGCAAAGTGATCGCCTTCCTGGGGGTGCTGTCCTGCTTCCACACCGCGTTCATGCTCTTCTGCATCAGCGTCACCCGGTACCTGGCCATCGCCCACCACCGCTTCTACACCAAGAGGCTGACGTTTTGGACGTGCCTGGCCGTGATCTGCATGGTGTGGACTCTGTCCGTGGCCATGGCCTTCCCCCCGGTCTTAGACGTGGGCACCTATTCCTTCATTAGGGAGGAGGATCAGTGCACCTTCCAGCACCGCTCCTTCAGGGCCAACGACTCCTTGGGATTTATGCTGCTCCTCGCTCTCATCCTCCTCGCCACGCAGCTTGTCTACCTCAAGCTGATATTCTTTGTCCACGATCGGAGGAAAATGAAGCCGGTTCAGTTTGTGGCGGCGGTCAGCCAGAACTGGACTTTCCACGGCCCCGGAGCCAGCGGCCAGGCAGCTGCCAACTGGCTCTCGGGGTTCGGAAGGGGCCCCACGCCACCCACCTTGCTGGGCATCAGGCAGAATGCAAACCCCACAAACAGAAGAAGGCTGCTGGTCTTAGACGAATTCAAAATGGAAAAGAGGATCAGCAGAATGTTCTACATCATGACTTTTCTCTTCCTCACCCTGTGGGGCCCCTACCTGGTGGCCTGCTACTGGAGAGTGTTTGCCAGGGGGCCCGTGGTACCCGGAGGGTTTCTGACAGCCGCTGTCTGGATGAGTTTTGCCCAAGCAGGAATCAATCCTTTTGTCTGCATCTTCTCCAACAGGGAGCTGAGACGCTGCTTCAGCACAACCCTTCTTTACTGCAGAAAGTCCAGGTTACCAAGGGAACCTTACTGTGTTATATGAAGGAGCATCTGTAAATCTTTAGCCTTCTGAAACACGGACCTTCTCTGTTAAGCAGTTGTGGCCTGCAGCCATATCTTGAGAAGAAGATCAAGAATGGGATTAGTGGTTGTAAGGATTCGGGGACCTTTCTGCAGTCTTTGCAATTGTTCACCTGTCATCCTGTTTTCAATCTCAGAGTGATCCTGCTGACTGCCCCATTGGAGGTCTGAAATGAAGAAAGGACTGAACCACTGCCCTCAGTTTCTTTATGTGGTTGAAAACTAGGTAATGAAATTAGCAGGTGCTAAGTATCAGTGCTAAATGCTGTGTATATCACTACTTATGAAAAAAACATTAAAAAAAAAAAACACCTAGCATTGGACATCTTAATAAGTTAAGTTGACTTGAGGTAAATATGTTGATAAAAACTAATTTTAGATGTTTGAAGAGTTTAAAACATTTCATACTATTATTGTTTTGCAAATACTAAAATACTTGGGGACTTAAAGTACCATAGTCCACTAAAGATATGCCATGAATTATTGGATTGTGACATTTTTTAAAAATCGCCTTGTACGTTTGGAGGACCATTCCAAAGCAGTGTATTGGTTCCAATTAGAATTTACTTAAAAAAAAAAAGTGTTTTATTGATTTTTAGAGAGAGAGGAAGAGGGAGGGATAGAGAGATAGAAACATTGAGGAGAGAGAAACATCATTGACGGGCTGTGTCCTCACACCCCCTACTGAGGATTGAGCCACAATCCAGGCATGTGCGCTGAACGGGAATCAAACCGCTGACCACTTGATTCCTGAATCGACACTCAACTGTTGAGCCACACCAATTGGAGCTAGCATCTACTTTTTAAAAATTAATACATTACTATTACTAAATACCACTTTACTTACCTACAGTTAAATTGCTATCATTAAACTGTATTATTTGATTTTTGTTGATTTGGTACAAAATTTTCCCAATTCGCTTTTATTTGGCCTGGAAAGCAACATCGATGGTACAATTGAGCTATTCTAATAATTCAGAATAAACATATGTTGCCTTGAAGAGTTATCTAATATCTTTCATCTTAGTATTGGAGCAAATAGTCAAGGGAAATCAAATCAATAACTGGTCATGTTCATGCATCTGGAAGACCTGGAAGAGCATTAATACTCTTTTCTTTTTCCTCACGTGGTTTTAAAATTAAGATGCATATTATTGGAATACTGAGATTGTGCTACTCATTCTAGTATATTTTAAGAAGCAGGCAGTTGATGTGTGTTTATATTTTTAGTCAGCTGTCAAGGGGAGACCGCAGCCTCAGTATGACATCCCGCACAATTTGTGAAGTGTTTATTCTACAGAGGGCACAGTCTTGTTTATACTTTCTGCACATTCAGTGTATTTGTCATTTAAATTATTTCAGATTTAACTTGTGAAAGCTTTAATATGATTTCTGGTATTTTAAAAATATATTAGAGTCTGTGAGTCTCATTCTTTAAAATACAGATGTGTGAATTTCAATATAAAGTTGCATTTGCCAAAACTTAACTGTGTAGCCTGTTATTTTTTTAAAATAAGTTTTGCAGTTTTTGACAAGTGAAAATTTTTTGGGCCTGGAAAGCAAGCACAAACTAGGAAGACTAGCTTTAATATGTTTTTATTATTATTATTATTATTATTATTATTGCTTATTATAATTTAGAAATGGAATGATAGGGAGCATAAATCTGATATACCAACAAATTATATTATCTGTAAAAGCATTACATGATAGCTTATTATAATTATCTTTCTCTTTATTTTTATAAGCCAATAACATTTAGAGACATACCTTTGTACTTGGTTAATTCAGAATTTTCATATAAATATCACATTTTAATTTATGGCAGAGTAGAAATTTGGGATTCTAAATATTTAGCTCATAAGAGGAATGGTTTACAATGAATAATGTTATGACAAAACCAGACAAGCTGTTACTGTTTTTGTTTGTTTTTCATTGTTTTTATTTGTTTGGGGGTTTTTGTGTTTAAAAAATAAGTTTAGGAATAATGGAACAGAATTTTTATTGCTGCAGCATATCTGTAAAAAGAATATAAAGATAAATAAGGAAAAATAAATGAAATGTCTCAGTGATATAAATACTATTCAGTCTGCTCGTATAAGGACAGCGGAAGTTGTGATTTAGTGAGGGCTCTATTAGACCTCATTTTTACTTTAAACCAAAGCTGATTGGATCTGAAATAGTCTCATGAACAACACTGGGTTGGATCTAGCAATAAAGTCCCCTTGTTGCTACTAAAATCATTATCCAATAAAGGAAATGTTATCAAAAGATATTCTGGAAACATTATGTGCCCAACTTAAAAAAAATTACAGTAGAAAGATCCCAATGATTATATTTATAGAGAGCAACTGGTAGAAAATTCAGCAAGGATCTTGAGGACAGAAAGAGACCAGTCACCATGTTGTATTTTGGAATCCTAAATGCCTGTGTTATTCATGCCATACACAAAATAACAAAAGAAATGGGAGTTAAAGTTCCTCCATCTCCACTTCCATATGAAGGATATTTCAGTCCCTTCAAGAAACCCGGAGGTGTCTTTTCATCCATTTTTATAGCTTCCAGCAAGTTAGCTTGTGAATGCCTGGGGAAAGGAAGGCACTCAGATGCCCTCTCCCAGGAGCCTACCCTGGTGCTCAAGCAAAGATGATAATTAACTATGAAATGGCAAGTATCTTTATTATTTAAGTATGCCACTCCTGCCGAGACCAGTTTGGCTCAATGGACAGAGCATCAGCTTGGGGACTGAAAGGTCCCGGGTTCGATTCCGGTCAAGGGCATGTACCTTGGTTGCGGGCATATCCCCAGTAGGGGGTGTGCAAGAGGCAGCTTATCGATGACTCTCTCTCATCGATGTTTCTGACTCTATCTCTCTCCCTTCCTTTCTGTACAAAATCAATAAAATATATTAAAAAAAAAAAAAAAGAATAACTCTTAAAAAAAATAAAAAAAAATATGCCACTCCTTCTATTGCCCCTTATTGGAGATGTACAACCAAATTACCTAATTTATTAGCTGAAAAGTCTGGCCTCCAAAATTCAAATACAATTGAATGTGTTTATCATAATAGAGACATATTCCTTCTCAGCCATGTAATGGAATTGTGCTGCAGCAGGTGTTACTGTAGAACCCTTGCTAGTGGGAACCAATAATATTCACTGATATGTGTGCACCATTAGGTACATTTACCATTATCAGTTTTACTTTATTCCACCAGCATCGTAGACTGTATTGTTAGTAAAACAAACAGAAAGGATCCAGCTTATATTAGTTTCTTATAAAAAAAAAATCAAAAAAAGAAAGAAAGACGATAAGATGATAAATGGTAATGTTTCAAATGCTAGCTAAACACATTAATTTAGGTAGATGGTTATCAGAATTAGGGTTATTTATGATTCCAAAATCTTATGAGTTTGTTTTTCTATGCAAAACACATCACTTTTATGTCTGTGGATATTCTCCTACAAATGTTTTTAATGGAAATTCCAGAGTCTACTAAGATAACGGTTTAATGTTGACATTTTTATAGTTCTCCACGTGGAGCATGCTAGCATTCTGTGACTTTCCCAATCCCCTCAGAAACTTTTTAAAAACCGCATTGAAATAACAGAATTGCTTAATTTTGAGGCACAAGTTCCTAATTAATCTATAGAATGCTTAAAACGAAGATGTTATTTGTAAACGATAGGATTACATTTTTTGCCACCAGTTACAAGGAAGCACAGTCAAATACATTAAAGGGATATTGAGAATTGAAGCAATGGAGAAAATATTTTGGGGGGAGGGGCTAATTTTTTTGGCCTTATACTGGAGTATAACAGGCTTGAATTTTATAAAAGAATTATATAAATAAGATCTGGTTAAGGATCTTTGTGGGGATTTTTTGTTTATTTGTTTGTTTGTTTTTTAGAAGAAGCTTTTATATCACCTCCTTTTGCCAAAGGGATGCTATCTATTAGCGTGCTCAAGCCCTTTTGACTATAAGGGTTTTAAAGACAGATTTCCTCCCACCAGATCAGGCAGTTAATTCAAGAACTGAAACCTTGAAAGGCTGGGGAGGAAAGAAGAGAGAATGAGTTTTTCTCTGAGTGATTATAGAAAAAGGCCTCAAAAAAACCACAGGTGGTTGAGGCTTGGAATTATTCACAGTCACTGCCCGTACACCCTTGCCACCTCCTAGTGTCATCGGACAACAAAATCATCTTTAGAAAGGCAGGTTTTTTTCTTTTTAAATTTTTTTTATTGATTTCAGAAAGGAAGGGAGAAGGAGAGAGAGATAGAAGCATCAATAATGAGAGAGAATCATTGCTCAGCGTCTTCTGCACACCCCACGCTGAGAATCGAACCCCAACCTGAGCATATGCCCTGACCAGGGATGGAACCATGACCTCCTGGCTTATGAGTCGATGCTTAACCACTGAGCCATGTTGGCTGGGTAGAAAGACAGGTTTTTAAGTTTGGCTTGCAGACAAAAAAGTTTCCTTTTTCTCTGTGTTTGAAAAATAATAGGTTCTTGATACAAATATTAAAATTGATACTGTAATGCATGCACTGGTTTATGGGATTTTGAATAGACAATAAAATAGCATTTAACTTATATGGATAGTCAAGATCACGAGGTGAAGAAGTAAGTCATTTTGTTTTCTCCTCCATGAAAAAAAAAAAGAAAAAAAGTTGAGAATGTTAATTTTGTCCCAAGGATAAAAAGACTTTTTGATCATTTTAGTAAGCGGTTTTACTTACTTGTCATTCAATCAATAATCATTTCCAGCATGTATGTTTTTGGGCAAGTTACTTAACCCTATCTGTCTCGTCAATAAAAAGGAGGTTACACACATCCTGGGGTTACTGAGTGGACTCAGTGAATGCATCCTTGTGAGGCCCTTAAAAGAGACCCTGGCATCTTTAATGCTGCTTTTTTACTGGCTGTCTCCTATTGCTCACCATCTAGCAGCAGAAACACAAATGATGAGACAATGTGATAAATGCTGTATGTGAGATAAGTGTTAAAGAAACACAGACAAGCAATTAACTCTGTGAAGATGGGAGGAGGAAGGTGATTTCAGACAGAGAAAATCAAATGAGCAAAAGGCAAATAAAGAGATTTGAATGTTCAGGGTATGTTCAACATAGAGATCCACTACTCAGGGACATTTCATGTGGTGTGGCTGCAGCTTTGATACCTAGAAGGGAAGGACCAACATGGCATAAAGGTTAAAAAACCACAAGATTTGAAAGTTTAAGTGGTTATTATGTTTGTTACCAACTTTATAATCTTAAGTTAATTCAACTCATTGAGTCTCGATTTACTTATCTGTAAAATGAAGGAGTAAGTAGTAGCAACTACTACTTTTAAAGATGTGTTTTGCTAAGCTAAAATACCTATTATTAAATAAGTACTTACTTCAAAGACCCTTTCTAAGTATTTTTCATTTATGATTATCATCATAAGTAGATGCTATGATTTTCCATACTTTACAAATAAAGCGAAGCACAGAG